AGTCAGGTTCCATTTGGCAACTGCTGATTGGATTGCAGAGCCTGTGCGGCAGAAAATAGCCATCACGGTAACTACCAACCCCTTTCTTTTTCTATAATTCCTCGGGATTACATTTTTTAAAACTTTACTCCATAGAACTCTGGTGTTGCCTTACTTCTCCGCAGCATAAAAATAAAATCAACAGGTCAGGGGAGTTGATACTCACCTCTGAATGCAGCCGCTATCAGTTCCGAAATTTGGCAGATTGCCTACAGAAAATTCGAGACATGATCGCTGAGGCCAGCCAACCAGCGAAAGAGCCATCCGAAGAAGATGCTGTACTGCAGAGAATCAGGTATCAGGAAATGCGGCCGGCGTCTTATCAGCTGAGTCGGTTCGGTGGGGCTGCAGGGGTGAAGCCCATGAGACAGGTGGCAAAGTTCGGGGAACGGGGAAACCGATGCAGCACAGGACTCCTGAGCTGGCGCCTGCGCATTCCGCTGCTCCGCTCCACGTGGGAAAGCACTGATTGGGCGTCTGGGCCTAATTGCGGTCTTTTTGTTTTCAGGATAGAAAACATGAATCGGGAAAGACTGAAAAAAAAGAGAATAAATTCTGCTATTAAGACAAGCAGGAGGGTAGATGTGGACTGAAATCCTCCTCCGGAGCTGGCCAAGACCCTCTTCAGGGCATCCAGGCAGCTGGAGGCTGGAGAGCTTTACCACTGTCGGGAGAATTCTGTGCTGTTTTGGTTGTCGCTGATCTCCAGCGTGGAAGGCATCAAGAGAACACTCATGTGGAACGAGGGTCTCTGGTGCTAGTTGGCAAAGGTCTTTATAGACAATCACATGTTTTCAAACCTACCTTATTCATTTAATGTATTAGCTGCAATAAAAGTCTAAACACCCTGGGCCTCCCTCTTCATTCAGAATGCTTCAGAACAGAATTCTCGCCTCTTCTCAGCTGAAACTGGCTGGCACTAACTGTGGGTCACAGCCCCGGGAGACAGGAGCTGGGCCTGGAAAAGGTACAGAATTTAAACCAGTAGAGGGGAGGGAGGCATGCCAGTTGAAGGGAACCGCAGGAATAAAGGAGACCAAAGAGATGACTGGGGTGGAGGAGCTGATAAGGACGCCATCTGAATGGTGGATTTGGGCGAGGGGGGTATGGGGCTAAGTCTAGACAGGGAGACTGAAGTTCCATGTGGAGATTCTTAATTCGAGTTGATGAGCTTAGATTTTAAGAAACATAGATAATAGAGCTGAGGGTCTTGAGTGGGAGGGGGTCTCATGTTAAGTGCTGTCCCAGGCTGTAGGGTTTTGGAAGCAGGAAAAGAGTGAGTTGGAACTGGAAAGAGGTTTCCACAGTCCTAAGGGTGTGGGAAGCACACAGGGCAGTGTAACAAGCAGATTACTTTGGCATGTATGAATTTCTTAGAATGTTCTCTACTTTTTTTTCTATTTTGATTTTGTTTACTTATCAAATACTACATTGTGAGACTCTAAATGCAAGATAATGAACCGTAACAGTAAATAATACTTCACATGAACAAGGACCTCATGTGAGCGTAAACAAAGGAAAGAGTCATTGATAAATGACTCAACAAAATATGAAAGATGTGAAAGACAAGGTCCATGTCCTCAAGGGACTCAGAGCCAACCAGAAAACAAGCTCACATGCAGGAATATGCAGCATTCCTTCACTCATTTGTTAATTCAACAAGTACTGAGTGAAAGGCGCCCAGGCACTGGGTCAGGTCTGAGGGAATCAGCAATGAACAAAACAAAGTCCTTTCTTCCAGACAATTTACATTTGGCTGGGTGATGATAAAAGCTGAGGAGAAAAATGGATTCCTGGTAGGGAACACCACCTAAAATGTGGTAAATAACATAAAAAAGGTCTAAGTAGACTATGGGAAGTAGAGAAGCAACCAGTTGCAGCTGGAGGGTCAGAGAAGATACATTTGAGATCCTTGAGATGGGCCTGAAGGAGGGCTCAGTCATGCAAGGCAGGGAAGAGCTTGTCACCTGGGGGCTCCAGTGCGGCCAAGCCTTCCTGTGGCTGGGACAGTGAACCCCAGTACTGAGAGAAAGGGCTCTGAAGCCAGACTGCTCCAGACCAGCTCCACACAGATCCCTGTCTCCCCAAGCTATGATTCCCTGAACCTTAGTTTCCCCATCTGTACACTAAGGATGATGTTTTTAGTACCTGATAGGGCTGTTGTGGGGTTTAAATAAAAAAATTAATGGTTAATGGCATTGAGTATGTGCCAGGGAATGTTAGCCATGATTAACACTGGCTGGAGCCCAGGGGACGAGGAGCTGCCACACTGAGGGGAGCCAGGTCTAGAAAGGCCTTGAAGGTAACAACTAAGACATTCACAGAGGCTGTCAGGGGAAGAGTAACCTGGCCGTCAGTGGGCCAGGAGATTGTAGGAAAGTGACGACAAGCTGGTGGACTGATCCACGTGAGCAGTTAGGGACCCATCCTGGAACTAGGGCAGTGGCAACAAGAATGGAGAGAAAAGTAGCAGATTCAAAGGGATCGTGGGGACAGGAAATTGGCCCAAGTGGAGTGAGAGCAGGTGTGTGGGAGGGATGATGCTGTGCATCAATACAGGAAGGTCATAAGGGGAGCAGAATTGGGAGGATGGCTAGATGATGATGGTTTTGCCCGGGAGCAGTTGACTTCGTGGGGCCTAGGAGGATGCCTGGGTAGTGATACCCAGAAGAAGGAAATGAGCCCTGGGGCTGGGGAGCAAGGGTGCAGCTAGGAGATGCAGGATGGAGGGGCACAAGCAGAGTTTCGGGAATGGATAGGAGCAGTGGAGGATGAGGCAAGGCAGAAGGCGGGGAGACTGGGTTTTAGGTGGCGGCAGCAGGGAACCAGAGAGGGCATCTCTGTAGGTTGACCTTGAAGCGAAGTTCTGGACCATGAAGCCCTCAGAAGAAATTGGTGGCATGTGAAGGGACCTAGAAAAGCATTTGAGACACACAGGAGGGGAAGGAGAGGTAAAGAGAAATAGCACAGGCTGGGGGACAGACAGTAGAGCACACAGGTAGGAGCCACCCTTAAGAAAAGCAAAAGGCAAAAGAATGAACATAGACAATATTGAGGAAAAGAGGCCAAACTACCAAAGAGTATGACTCCCATTATATATACAGTTGACTTGGGGTAAGAAGCACGATCAAAAATCCCTGTATAGCTTTTGACTCCCCAAAACCTTAGCTACTAATAGCTTACCATGATAGGAAGCCTTACCAATAACATAAGCAGTCGATTAACACATATTTTGTATATATCTTATATACTGTATTCTAACAATAAAGTAAGCCAGAGAAAAAAAGTTTTTCAAATTGTTGCAAATCTTTACAAATTTTTCCAATATATTCATTGAGAAAAATCCACATGTATGTGGACCCACAGAGTTCAAACCTGCACTGTTCAAGGGTCGCCTACAGTTCAAAAGGCAAAACTTCTTTGGGGTGATGAAAGTCAGGAAAGTATTTACTTGGGAGAGGTGGTGATTGATTTATAGAAGGCACGAGGAGCCTTCTGGGGTTCTGGAATGTACTGGGTCTCATCCAGTTGTGACCTGAAGATCTGTAGGCTTTGCTGCATGAATGTTACGCAAAGACAGAGAGATTCATGAACTTAAAGGAGGGCTCCTCAAGACAAGAGACTGGAACCAGATGGATCAAAGTCTTCCTTCTTGTTAATGTTAAGGCAGGAATGAGATGGATTTCTGCAGACTACGTGTTGGAGAGAAAAACAAAGAGGAATGCGTCCAGGTTCCCCATGACCTGGAATGCTGGCAATGCCGAGGCCTGGTTCAGGCACTACGTGGCATAAATGCTGTCTTTGGTTGAAGCTTCTGCTGTTACATCTTTCATATGCGCATGGAGTTTAATAATGCATTTTAAACGTGTGTTACGTTTAAAAGTGTGCTTATTCCTTATTTTTATTACGATTTGTATAGCAGTTTTAAAGGAACAAAATTTAGGATGAACTATTTGGCTTATTTGTTTCTTTATATTATATATTTGTTATATATAAATATTTCTATTACTATGACTAGAAGTAGTTGCTCCTTTTGGTTGTACATTGCCTTGTGATGGTGAAGGTTTAGTGTTTATGTCTCAGTCAGTATTCATGAATGATGATAGTCTGTTCTCATTCACTTCCTACATTACTTTTCCCAAAATTCCTTGGATTTTCTGCAGAGGTGGACACAATGGCTTGAACCCTCAGTCTTCTCCCGCCTTGGGCCGGGTGTCCTGGCAGCCGCAGCCCACGGTGCTTCCCACCTGCTCTCGGTCGATTGTGCATTGGGAAGGGGCGGTCCACACCCCCTGTACCGCATCCCAGGCTCAGTCCTGCAGCGCAACACCCAGGATTGGGTGCCGACTACGGGGATCGGTATGGGGGTAGCAAAGAGACGCAGGCCCCAGTGGCCTAATGGATAAGGCACTGGCCTCCTAAGCCAGGGATTGTGGGTTCGAGTCCCACCTGGGGTACAACCCGCCGTACTTTTGAACCTACTGCCTCGGACCTTCTGAAAAATACCTTCTGGAATCCAGTCCACCGCTACTCCCACGCGTCAAGGACGCGTTATCCTGAGTTCGAAGTGTGTTCACCCCAAGCAGAGTACCCTTCGTAGTCCGTTTCTGTACTTCTCACAGGCCAAGGATAGAGGTGCTGCGTTGCCTCAGGGCACCCCAAAGGCCGATCGGGGAGTAGCGGCACTGGATCTGGGTGTAGAGAACGAGCGGGAACCCTGATTGCTAAAACCGTGGAAAGCCCGGGTTATAAGCCGCTGTGGGAGAGCGACTTCAGAGGCCAAGTGGGGAGAAGGCGCCAAAATTTCCAGCACGTGTGGGATAGACTCTCCACCCCTCCACCCCAGGTGGGACTCGAACCCACAATCCCTGGCTTAGGAGGCCAGTGCCTTATCCATTAGGCCACTGGGGCGCGGTAAGGTGGAGGATCCACGTGGTCCATGTAACGCGCAGCCGCACGTGCGCAACCCTCACATGGCTCTGCCACGCCGACATCCGTACCGTACTCCCGGAGGCAGGGTCAAATACCGGGAAACCCGCGGGACGACCGCAGGGCCCACCCGCCGGGTTACAGAAGCTCGAGTTCAAGGCGAGGCTTTGGAACAGTGCCGCGCTGGGACCAAAGGACCGGGCGGAGCGCACTCCCACACTTCCAGGAAGGTGGAAGGGGACAAGGAGGGAGGACAGAACAGGTGCGGGATTGCTGTGTCCTGCGCCACAGGCACGAACCTCTCGCCCAAAAGGTAGCCGACGAAAAAGGGACTCGAACTCTAAATCTTCTAATCGGAAGTCAGACGCCTTATCCATTAAGCCACGCAGCCGCGACGTTCCACGGGTTGCAATGAGCCAGCCAGGTGCAGAACCGCTCCCCCCCGCCGCCCCCGCAACCCCCTTTCCCTCCCGGAGGTGGTGGCGCTGGCGACACGGGCCGGAGAGGGCCTAGAACGCAGATGCATCACAGGTATGGCGGGGGCGGAATTGGGGTGCGATCCATTCGGATGGCGTCAGCGTTGTTACGTCTTTAGATCATTAAATAGGTGTCCGGTGCCCCACCTTCTGTGTAAAGACCGCGTGGCCTAATGGATAAGGCGTCTGACTTCGGATCAGAAGATTGAGGGTTCGAGTCCCTTCGTGGTCGAAATGTTTTAATCCCGTATGCCGGGAAATAGAGGTCTTCAGAAACTAAACTGCTATTTCTCTCGTTTTAGCGGCTGACAAGCCGCCGGACTCTCACTCTATCGCTGCTGGAGCTGAGAGTCTCGTCCAATTAGATTTTACACCTGGAGGCGGTTCAGCCTGACGTCATTACATAGTTCCTTAGCGTCACAACTCAAGAGACATGTGATCGAGGCTCGGTCGCGCGCAGCCCCAGTGGCCTAATGGATAAGGCACTGGCCTCCTAAGCCAGGGATTGTGGGTTCGAGTCCCACCTGGGGTGAGACTGGTTTACTTTAACCTAGTACCGTTTTATGTATTACCTGTAAAGTACGAACAGAAAACCATTAAAACGCACATCTTCTCTTTAGTAGCCTTTGTGTTATTTGTGGACACCCCAGTTGCAGTTCATTTTCCTTTTCTTTTCTACGAAGTCTCAGTATACTCTGAAAGGTAAAGCAATATGAGGGCAAAATTTTTTGCCTCTGAGTTGGTATCCTCACCTCGCCATAGTGGTCTGCGAGCAAAAATCCACGTGCAAATGAAGCAAGCGGTTCCTGAGTCTGAAAGCAGGCACAGCTGCAGCCCCGGCTCCTTCCTGCCCCCAAGCATCCCACCGGAGACCGGCAGGCGGGGCAGTGGGTGCTGCCCAGCGCCGCGTCCCGTGAGCGGCTATGGGCTCTGTCCCCAGCCAGCGACGCCCACCACCCCGTCTGTGCAGTGACCAGGAGGGTGCGGTGAAGCGGGTGTGAAAAATGGCATACTCACGCTCACGGAGAGATACACACTTACGTGGATATAATGAAAGTTCCTGTGGCCAGGATTTTCACCTGGCCCTGGTTGGCTAGCTAACTCACTCACTACACACGAGTGGGCAATACATTGCTATTGACCCTATATAAAGAGCTCCGCCCAGCGGTCTGGGCGATATGGTGGCACTGCTGCAAGGCTGTAAGAGAGCAGAGCAGAGGACAGAGGCCCAGAGGACGGCTGTGCGGGGCAGCTGTGCAAGCAGAAAAGCCCAGAAGCAGAGACTGGCTTAGCTGCATGCATACTCGCTCTGAGTGGACGGGATTGTAGTGACTGACCTGCCACCGTGGAAATAAAGTTGGGTATAACCCTTTCACTCCAAGAACGTTTTACTGTCATTTTCTTTGTTCACACTGAATCCATAGTGAATTTACCGGGGGCTGAAACCCATTGGCAAGACAACTTAGGAGTTTCACACTTGCCTGTGTATATGTATATAATCTTTTAGTAAAATGTTTATTTTTTTAACTGTACTATTTTGACCAAGGAGACACACACACACACTCATTGATTGATTGATTGATTGATTGATTGATTGCCTCTCTGCCCATAGCTCCTGAGTATCTCACCTAATGTGAGATACTTTGGGGATACTCTATTTCCTCGGGGAGAGGATTTATTGTTCATCAGATTTTTCTAAGTCCCTGATTCAGAGAAGTTTAAAAAGCTCTGTTCCTTGTACTTTCGTAAGGAAACAGACTAGGAACACAGAACCGTCCTTTCCCCTCTGCAGGACCGCCCAGAGCTCTTGCTGTTCTCTCTGCTCCCCACCAATCCCAGCTTTGCAGATGTCCTGTCGGCGCCCAGGCGCGGCGCTAGTAAACAAGATAGTAAACAGGTACACGAGTGAACGGGATGATTTCAAAATGAAGAGGGGCATGGCACTCTATGAGTCGAGTGGTCAGAGAAGCCTCTTGAGTAGAGAACAGGCACGCACCACTGACAACCCTGTCACTTTCCGAGGACCTCTGTAACGTCTTGGCGGATACACTACCTATCGCACGGGGTTATTGTGAGGAGTAAATGAGATTTTCCGTGAAGTGAGTAGAACCATGTCCGGAACATGGTATGTGCTTTAAAGAAAAAGCATGACATCATCATTTGCTAATGTACAATTTGGCCCCATTTCAAGGTGTATATGTGATCCTCTCCTAGCTAGATGTGAACCCCTGAAGGCTCGAATTTCACCTTACATTTCTCCTCCTTCGTGCATAATGAATTCATATTAAGATTCTTCTAGGTGCCAAACACAGCGCTAAGCCCTGGGGAATACAAATACGACTAAGGTATAATGCTGGTAACTCCGCAATTTTCTAGAATCCTCTAGATCTTTCTAATTTTCTAGGATTAGAAGAAGGAATAGCAAATACCTAATGGTAAAGTGGGAGGTGCAGTTACCAATTTGCTATGGCTATAGTGGGGAAATGAGAACAGTGTACCAAGACACAACCCCAGACCAGAGATTGCATTTAATGGTGTGGGCAGTGGGAATCTAGGGGAGGGTTCTAAGCAGAGGAGTACAGCAACCATATCTGCATTTTAAAAGATCCCCTTGCGAGCCATGTAAAGAATGGATTGGAAGCGGGTGAGAGTACAGGCAGGGAGACCACTTAGGGAGAGATATATGGTTTGGGAAGAAATTGCCAAAGCCTGAGCAGCGACACCAAGAAGAGAAAGTAAAACAGATGTTCAGGAAATGGAACCTGTGGGTCGCGGTGCCTGATCCCCGCGGAAAGGAGCCAAGGAGCCAAGAAGCGCCCAGGATTTGGGGGAAACGGTGGTGCAACACTCCGCGGGCAGGTGGGGAAGGTAAATTCAGAGCTGATTATATCAACTTGAGGATGCTTTCAGATTCCCCTGGTGCCTGGCTTATTTTTTTCCCCAAAACCTATCCAATTTTTCATCATAGTTCCTAGTTTCTGCTTTGGTGTTATGCTTAAAAAAAAACTCTTCTCATCTGAAGTTTATATAAATATCTATCTACAGTTTTTCCTGTTGTTTCATGTGGGATTTTTTTCCTTTAACATTTAAATCTGCAAATGGAACTTGATCTTTGGTGTAAAGTAAGGATCTCTTACTGTTTTACAAATATTTAAAGACCAGTGCCTTTTCCCCAGATTCAAAATGCTTAGATTATATAGTAAATAATTATATGCATGTAAATATATGTTATAGACGTTTTCTGAACATTCTATTCTATTCCATTGATCTAATTTTTTGCTTTTTATACCTAATATGAGAGTACTAATAGCCCAATTTAATTTTTTCAATATTTTCTTGACTATTCTTTCTTCTCTATATCTTCTGAATATTCTGTAATCAAAATGTATTACATAATGTTTCTGTATGACACAATTTAAGGCCATGGATTTGCTTTAACATTAAATGTCCATATTGTTTATCTTCCAAGCATTCTGTAATTATATATTTGATTGATCCAAGATTCATGAGAGTTTTCAAGTGGCTGCAGTTTTGTATTGTTTTGTATTATTGTAGTTTATACTTTGGCTAATTGTTGGTTTTACAAAATATTTGGTCTGGGATCAGTTGATGTGTACTGTAGTGTCTTTTTTTTTTTTTGAAGCTTTCTTATAGTCTAATGTTAGCAGTTTCCAGTAACTGTATGACATAGAATTTAGTATATAAGCTATTAAACAAGCCTATTACAGTCTACTATAGTCTCATTTGTTTTGCAATTGTCAAAAATAGAAAGATGTTAAAATCTTTACAACTGTTATATTTCTAGCAATTTCTTTTTAACTTTTTTGTTTTAAATATTTTAATTTTTTTTCAGTACATCAAGGTTCCATTTTTCCATGTGGATGGTCCCCTTTCATGTTTCATGTTCGACCCATTTCATGTTTTTGTCTCCAATCCTACTTTGCTAAATAGTAGTATTATAACTACATTTTTGCCCATCCCTTAAAAAATTTTATGAAAATTTTCATACACAAACAGAATTATAAATGAACCTAGATTCCCATTATCAAGATTTTGTTGCGTTTCCTCCATTAACCCCTTTGATCTTTTTTTAAAAAGCATTTTAAAGCAACCCCAGAGATCACATCATTTCTACATACTTCAGTTGAATATTGAATACCTTCTGCAGTTGATTGGTGCAAACCAGAATCCAACTAAGACCCACACACAGGATTTTGATGCTGGGTCTCTTAGGCCTCTTTAACCTAAAGCTGCTCCTCCATCCATCTTATCTTGACCCATACCATTGACTTGTTGAAAATAAAAAGTCAAATGTCCCACATTTTGGATTTATGTTTACTTCTTTAGCGTCATTTAACTTGTTTCTCTATCCAACATACTTCCTCTAAACTGCAAGTTAGTTTTAATGCCTGGATTAAATTCAGGTTCACCTTCTTGGCAAAAATACTTTCAAATGGTGCTGTATATTTCACATGGTATGTCAGAAGGTACATCGTACAGGGTTGGCACCAGGAAGCGACAGCTGATTGTCAAGTTCATCAACATTCAGTACATGGTTTCATCCATTGATGATCTTTGCCTAATTAAACTATTAATGATAAAATAGTGATTGTTCTAGTTGCTTTTTTCCCCATTAGCTGAAATATTTTGTAAAGAACTTTCAACTACAGAAATATAGATGTTTAAAGACAAAAGATAAACATAATCTTTATTCCTTCAATGCCAGTTTTTAGAGTAATGAGTTGGAACCTTTGATACATTCAAACTCTTTTTTTAAACTTTTTTTTAAAGGATGGACAGCATGTAGTTGGATTTTGGGTTGACCAAGTTTGAATTTTTGCCATCTAATAGGGGTCTTCACTGATTTATAATCATTCTGAAGTATGTTTGGCTCTTTATTTATGCTACTTTCGGTTTTGCTAATTTTTGTCTTTAACTTTTGCTACTTTACAGGAAATACTTTTCTCTAGGATTGTTAAAGCGTAATCCTATTTTATCAGTGTTTTTACTGTAAATCAATGCATGCTCAATGCCAACATTTCAAACAGTCCAGGAGGGTATAAAACTTAAGTGTCCCAACCCTATCCAAATGCCTTGGGCTGAATGTTCTGTTGTTCAGTTGTTTCTTCTAGTAACTCTACTGAAAGTTCTCCCTCTAATGCTAGGGAACTCCTCTCTTCATGTTACAGAGCTTCCACAGGACTCATATTTGTGCCTTCCTTGATCATGAATTCTAACCACACTCCAGAAGCAAACTGAATGGCTTTTTCGTAGACTCTCCGTGTTTTCACTCATCTGAACCCTTAGATCTTCAGCTGGATGGCTTGGTGCCAGGTCAGTGACTTGGATCCCGGGAGCGGGTGTGTACTCAGGTTTGTTTTTGCGCATTAAAGGGCTTCTGGCACAGATGCCACTGAACATCAGAAATTGTAACTAAGCAGCTCCAAGTGGAATACACCCCCGCCCTCAACTACATTTTATCTTCACCCTGGCCCCTACCCTTACAGACTAGGGGTGGTGGTGCCCAGGCCCTCCTCCACTTACACCCTTTAGGGCCATGTTACTTTGAGTGCTATCAGCCACTGTTGCTCTTCCCCAATAAAGTCCCTTTGCAACCTTTGGTAAATATATCACTGAATTGTTGGCCTGTAGATGCTGCCCTCCCCCTGGTAGGTTTTCCTACAGGATTTAAGCCGTAACAAGTCAGTTGCCTTTGCTTAGATCACTCTCCTACCTAGAAACTCCCCAGGTTATCTAATTCTCCTTACAATCCTAATGTTGTAAATGAAAAAAGGAAGGTCCCAAGCTAGTGAATAGGTAGTCTAAAACCAGTAATTAAACGTTCAAGGAGGAAAGTGGACAGCATACCAGGCTCTGATTTCAAGGGCGAAAGAACCCCTTCCACCACGCCTTACTCTGAACCGCCTGTATCTCCTGACACTGCTCAGGAGTCCTGCTCACTTCAGTGCTAGTAGGAATTTCCTCAATGATTAGATGATTGATTTAAAATAATGTCTGTTCAGACACAAAGCTGCCACTGGTTTGAACTTTGAGACACAATTTTCCTTTCCTGCCACAGTTATGCTGTAGAACTGAGGCACATAAAGGAGGCCCCTGCTGTGCCCCCACTGCTGCTACACTTGCATTTGGACATCTGTTCTTGCGACTTACTACTGGGAGCACCCCCTAGGGACCAGTGGTTTCAAAGAAAGGAGCAAGTTCAAGGAAATCAGGAAATAACGCTTCCTCTACACCATATTCCAGTGGAATACACTGTCACTAACCGTACCGTTACTGTTAGGACTTCAACAGCCCTGCAGCCTGTCTTTGGCTCCTACGTTAGGCTCCTAACCATTAGACGACTGGGCCAGCACACACCTGTAGGCTCACCTTTCCATTCTAACAGAAAGCCCATTTCCACTGAGGTCACCTCAGAGTTTGAACTAATCTCATCCCCAAAGAAGCAGACGCACGCTGCACTATATAATTATTTTTAATGTCCAGAGTTTATAATACATGGACCAGAGCTTTCTCCCCAACTCCCGTTTATAATTTCTCAATTGGCTTGTGAGGCCAATAGGGATACTTTTTCATGTCTAATTTGGTTTCTGGGAAGACTTCGTTCAGGTCCTCAATGGTCATCTGATCAAATGGAATTATGTTCTTCATCTTCTCCAGCTGGAAAAAGAGGAAACGTGTTAACGCCCGGAGATGCGAAAAAGAAGCCAAGGCAGGTTACTGCTACTAGGTGAAAGGTATGTGGCCCTGAAGGAGGAAACGTGCCACAGGCAAAGGCCAGGGCCCATCCTTACCTCTTTCTCGTATTCCTCAATCCTGGCCTTTGAGAGAGACAAAAACTCAGCACAACTTTTCACCTTTAAGAGATGGGAGAAATCCTGTTGTGAAACCCAGCTGTACTGCCCTGACCCTGGGGCGCCCATGGTAGAAGCCCTGGAGCCCACTCCTGCTTTCCAGGTCTGTGTGAAGAATATGCTGCTGCCCTGAGGCCGGGGGGAGCTCACTCTGGGGAGCAAACTATAGCTTTTCCTAAACACACAAAAGCCATACAAGAGAAACCCCTCATGGTGGCAGCACCAGGGTCCTTCAGCAAGTTACTCGTGTAGGAAACCTACAAAACACGTATTCCATGGGGGCCAGTTACTGAACAATCAGGATAAACCACCGACCACCTAGCCAGACTTCTAAAGAGAAGGGTTGAGCCACCTGGGTTTCAACATTTGGCCTTCAGCACTTTCCAGCACATAGTTAGGTATTTGAGTGGCACCTTGAACAGTTTTCCTACCCAGTTCCAACTCCTTAACTATTTCAACAGCTTTGTTGAGGTATAACTGATGTGCAATAAAACACATGTATTTATTTGGAGAGTCCTACGTAAGTTTTGACATTATGTACCCACCTGTGAAACCATCACCATAATCTACATGGTGGACAGACTTATCGGCCCCTCCCTCTCATCCCCAGGCAGCTGCTGATAAGCTATTACCATAGATTGCATTTTCTAGAGTTTTATTGCTCCTTTTCATTCACTCTACATTAACCAACTACTGAGACACACACAGCCATCAGGAATTAAGAGAATTTTAAAATAAGTAAGAATTTCAACTACTTACATCTTCTTTTTCTTCAGCATCCACCTGGACAGTGTATTTATCCTCTGGCACAGGAACCTTCAAGGTATTAAACTACAAATTTGGATAGTGAGTTGTTAATACACCTAGGAACCCAAAAAGAGGGCTCAAAGTCGTTAAGCCTTATTGAACATGTGAAAACACACTCTCCATCCCAGGAGGCAACCAGCATGCATCTAGGGCATTGCAGGGGAAAGTATATTAGACTGGGAACAGGAGCTCAAGGGTCTTCTCAGCCCTGTACTAGCTAATGGAGATCTTGGGCAGTTTATCACGTTGAGTTTCAGGTTCTTCTGGACTTGATAACCTCAAAAATGGCCCCTTAGAACCTTGGTGTTGTAAAGAAATTCTGATTTCCCTTTTAAATGAACCCCTAGTGGACTGACGAGCAGAAATAATGTTTGCATGATGGAGATGGAGATGGTTTCCTTAGCATAGTGCTATAGCCCCAGCACTTAGCACTGTACCTGGTGCAGAGTAGGCCCTCAGTAAACATCTGTTGAGTGAATGGACAAATATACTTTGGATAAGGTGGATGAGAAATTACAGCTTTATGAGACAGTAAAAGAGCAGAGAAAAGAGGAAATCAATGAAAGGGTAGGAAAGATATTAGCTTGTTATAAAGGGAGACAGATGGGAGGCTAAGAAGTAAGTCAGAGGAGTTGGGTGGGGACATTTAACCTGACAGTCTTCTGGCTCCCTGATTAAAGCTATACTGTACTTTTTTTTTTTGCATAAGGTCTATAATGAATTGACCCTGAATTCTTGGCATGTATTTACTGTTTCAGTCTATCACTAGAAGACCTTTGGCCCCACCCATCTTTCTTGAGCTTCCTTTGGGATCTGAGAGTTAATATACCCTTCTTTCCTCACTGTCATCCTGGGCATGTAATTCTTATCCTGTACCCCACCCACAAGCCATGTTACAAGACCAGCGCTTCAGGTGCCCAGAGTCTCACCTTCTTCTCAAAGTCATCAACCAAGCCAGCCTTTGCCACATTGGCCTTGTAGTAAGCCCAGTCAATTGCAGGTGGTTTCTCAGGTAGAGCAGCCAACCTGCTCACATGGAAAAGTAAAAGTTAAGATTGTTCCATAAGCAACAAAAAAGTCACAGTGATTTCTCTGTTCTTTATTCCTAGAGCCCGGAGCTATCACCACACTTTTCTCTAGGAAGATTGTGAGAACGCACAAAAATCACTTTCATTTAGAAAATGCATGGGTTTCTTTATGCTTTCTGTCAGAAGGGCATCAGAAATTCATGTGTAATTCCAAAGCACTGTTTTGTTTCCACACTCACTGGCAAGTTAAGAGGATCCCTCTCAGAATGGTACTGACCTGGAGGTGAGGGTCTCATTCCAAGATTTCAGAGAGTTAGCAATGGCCTTCTGGTTTTGGGGTATGATCTCCCCAAAAGCTACCCAGTCAATGGCTTTTAGAGCAAGCTTTCGCCCAGCCATCTTGAGAACCTAGAAAAAAAAACAGGTCAGATCAAAACAGGGCTCTTGGAGAGAACCCTCTAAAAGTCATCTTAAAAACACACAAGTCTTTAAGAAACAGATCAGCACCCTCTGAGCACTTGGTGGGTAAGTTTTATCAACTAAAGGAATTAGGATGACTAAGTCAGAAAAGGAGAACTGTTTAGCTTTTCAAATTCAAGGTGTGAAACCTGGCCTAAAAATAGATTCTCTCTGCCTAGCCAGTACTCCCTTATTCCCCAACTGCTACTCATCCTTAAAAGCCCAGTTCTCTACTGTTCCCTCTCCATGTACTTTTGGAAATATTACTGTGGTAATACTCACGCACAACATAAGTTAGCAATTTAAGTACATTTCTACACAGATTATGCTTTATTCACTGATTCTCCAGTGAACAGAACCTGACATATACCCAAGCTTCAACAGGCTTAGTTATGTACTGCTGATTCTAGGCTAGAATTTCCTCATCTGAAAACTGCTCACCCTAGCAGGCCCTTAAAAGTATCAAGTGAAATGCACACGTCAATTTGCTCTTCAGTCTTATACAAATTTAAGGGGCCCCGTTGATCAGATCCCTAATAAACTGGTAATCCACCTGCACCTTATTCATACTACTTATCCCCTGCAGCAATAGTACATACTCCATGTATACTAGGAATACCCTTAAAAGAGGTATTCAGTAGATATGTGTATGTCACATAAAAGGGAAAATAGTCATGTTTTGTTTTGTACTAAGACAGAATATGGGAAAAGAGTCAACTTAAATTTAAGATCAATGTCAGACATCAGAACTCTGAAATGCCAAAGGTCTTTACAAGTTACGCATGGACCATAAGAGAAATGGAAGAAATATTCCCCAGGATCTTAAAAAGACATTTTGTTGGACACTTGTCACTTGCTTTTTTTCCCGCCGGAAGGCTTATGTTTCCTGGAGTGGAGGTGATGCGCAGGTGACTTGAAGATGCCAGAGAAATAAGCGCCCTTACAGAGATTTTCCCAAGCACCAGTAGCAGATAGTTTTCATAAATGAAGGGTTTTTTGTTATTTACTGCTGAATCCCCAGTCTAGAACAGGTCCTGCACCATAGAAGGTGCCCAACGAGTATCTATCTGTCTGTTGAATGCGTCAACGAACCCCGCAGTGAACTCAGAACGCCCCACGCGCGGGAATGCAGGAACTCTCAAGTGGGAGGGGCGGGCGCAGCCCTCCAGACTGCAGAGCGCCCCTCGGCCAAGTCAACACCATCCCCGGGTAACGTTTCCCCAACCCCAAACCGTGCGCTGAAGACAGCCGTGCTGGGAGCGGACGGAACCAGACAAGGCCTGTGGAAGCGCCTACGTCAGAGGCGGCGGGGTCCTAGCCGGGCCCCCGCGACCTCGCGCGCGAGGGAGGGGAGGAAGCGGCCGCAGCTACAGCGGCGCACTCAGGGCCCGGTGCCCTCGGCGAGGTGCGACAACGGTCGGCGCAAGGCCTGAAGGCGAGAGCAGAGGTGCTCGCGAGGGTCGGGTCCAGCGCCCCAGACGCCACTCACCTTCACCGACCCCGGCAGCCCACAGTCCACACAGCAAGTAACGGAAGCCGTCACCGGAAGGCCTCCCCTCAGCCAATCCCAAAGCTAACGGGGCGGGCATTGCTTTCTCAGGTCAGCCAGTAGAGATGGAGGCTGGTTCCAGAAGTCCCGCCTCCGGAGGCGGGCACAGCGTCCCGACAGTTCGGGTCCCCGGGCGCTGGTTGGGGGCGCTCCCGTCCCTCTCCCCCCCGGCCCCACCCCCGCCGATGGGCCGGCCCGGCTCTCCCTGCCGAGAGATGGGCCGGCCCGGCGGCGAGCGGACAGCGGTGGCGGCGGCGGCAGCCCAAGATGGCGGAGCTGCAGCTGGACCCGGCGACTGCGGGGCTGGGAGGGGGTAGTGGGGGCGGGCTGGGCGAGGGGGGCGGCCCGGGCCGTGGGCCCCCCAGCCCTCGCCCCTCCGGACCCACGCCCCGCGGGCACTGCCGCCCGTCCGCCGCCGCCGCGCAGCCTTTAGAGCCGGGTCCCGGACCGCCCGAGCGGGCAGGGGGCGGTGGCGCGGCCCGCTGGGTCCGGCTGAACGTGGGCGGCACCTACTTCGTGACCACCAGACAGACCCTGGGCCGGGAGCCCAAGTCTTTCCTCTGCCGCCTCTGCTGCCAGGAGGACCCGGAGCTGGACTCGGACAAGGTGCGCCCCAACCTCTGGCGCGCCCGGGACCTTCGGACCCCTCGTACCTCTTAGGCTAGTCCCCAGATTCCTGCGACAAGCCCCTCACAGGCGGGCTCCTCGGGACAGGACCCCCCAGCCCCGTTCCCCTTCCCCTGCCTATTACCCCCGGGGGCTATTCTCGTTCACCTGGTCGCACCCCGGCTTACTCTCTGACCCCGCCCTTGGTCCTCGGGGAATCGTTCCCCACACCGTGCCCAGTCGCACCCACGAGAACCCACTCCACACCCCTCCTCCATATTCCTCTCTGTGCCTCTCATCCTAGCCCGTCAGATCTGCATGAGTTTTCCCCTGGCTCCTCCTCAGCCCCTCACTGCCCGTGCCAGCTGCGTCCAGAACTGGGTCAGGGTGAGCTAAGGCATCTTTGTAGCTTTCTCAGACTTCCTCTCCGACCCCTCTGCCAAGTTGGGTGAGAGCCTGAATCAGCTGCAGGAAGTGCCTCCCGTGATATGACACTTCTTTCCTGTGGTCCTGGTCCCTGAGTTCGTATCTGGTAACAGTCACTGTTTTAGGTCCAAATTTGAGGTGAAATGCATACCTTGGAGGGGTTACCATTTGCCAGTGCAAACATAAATTGATCGGTTAAGATCGAGGGAAAATGAAAATCCAAGAATGCCGTTGGGCAAGATGCATGGCTTCTAACCAAAAGGTGGAGAGGTGACAAGACACTTAACCCATTTACAATTTGAACTGTTTGATTTTTTTTAAACCTTTCATATTCATCTTTTAGTTCCCAACTTGTAGGCATTGACCACAGTTTACACCATCTTATATCCCATATAGCACTGAGTCCAGTTACCTTGTAACAGAGTTGGGTTTAGGTAAACATTGGTTGATTTCATTTATTCATCTCCTACCTCCTCTCTAATAAATCTCAGATGATGGAAACCTGTCCTGCCTTAACTTTAAAGACATCCAAATCCCTTGCTTATAAAAGAAATATTTTCATCTACCCTAACTCTTCCTTATTGCAGAAGCCAGTTTCTTCCTGTTCCTTTTACTGTAAAGATGAGTAGGATTAAAGCTGCTCAGAGCCAAATCCTGGTAGTGCCAAGCTTCCTCCGGGCACAGAGCTGGGGTGTGTGAATTAGAGCTGGCAACACAGACTCCCACTGATGTTGGCCTTAAGCTCAGGAGAATTGCCAATTAAAACAGAGGTTTTCTTAGAATTAGGAATGTGATTTTGGGGCAATAGAGAGGTCAGAATGTCCAATCTCAAGCAAAGGTCTGAATCATACAACTATGGCATTTTCTTCCTCTTTTAAATAACAAATGCCCACAGACAAATGTTGGCCCTTGTGTCCAAGTAAAAATTTTGGAAGTTCACGTAAATGTCTAGGTGATACAACATCTATAACACTTCAACTTCACCTGAAATGATCTAAAATACAGGACACGTAATGCTAAGCCTTCCTGCCAATAGTTTGTGATAAGCAAATGTCTAACAAAACTTGCCTTCTCACCCATGAATTGTCACAGAGGTTGTAACTGCCCTGACTCAGTCTGAAAGCTCCAAGATGATATCCCTGTGTTTGTTTGGTTGGCAGGATGAGACCGGGGCCTATCTGATTGACAGGGACCCCACCTACTTTGGTCCTATCCTGAACTACCTCCGCCATGGAAAGCTCATCATTACCAAGGAGTTGGCAGAAGAAGGTAAGAACAATGTTTGAACTGGGTGTTATCAAAATTCATTGAATCTTTAAAGCTGTTTCACAGATTGTAATTTTGTTACGAGATTTTCATGGAGCTCATGTGCATGTGTAGTAAAGGCTGATGAAAGTTAGGCAGAAGCTTCCATTGGCCTAGTTTCCTGTGAGGGAGCTCTGTTGAAGGGACCCCCCAGTGGGCTTCTGTGCTGCTTCCTTAATGAGAAGCAAAACAGGTAGCTCAGCTTTGCAGATAGCTTCAGGAGCTTTTTCCAAACCCGCAGAATTACCATTATCCCTTTTTACTTCTACTAATGTGCTAGCAGTGAATGCCCATCGCCTGAAGCAGCACATCTCTGACATTTAGTTATTTATATTTTCAATTTTAGTTTGAACTTGCAGCTGTAAAAAAATAATAAAGGCTTGGCCTCATTTCTTTTAAGACTGGTCTCATGCTTCCTTGTAAATGTTTGCAGCTGACCTAATTCATTCTCCAGTCCATTGTCTGGTGCCTGATCCATTTGCCTCATCTTTTTGGTTTGTAGGGCATTTTGGACTGTAAGTGGTCTAGACATCTTTCTAAAAGGCTTGGCATGGTTTCCCTGAAAGCATTCAGTTGAGTATTGGGGCCTGTCCCTAAATGCAGGGCACCCTGGTCTGGGAGGTTTAGCTCCGAGTAAGAAAGCTGTTGGCTGTGCTAGTTAATGAAGTGGCTGCGGAACACCTCATTTTCAACCTGTAAAAATAATACTCTTTTTTTAATGTCCTCTTTTCTTTTTTTAACATTTCAAATGCATACAAAATAACAAAACTAATGAGAATAATACAATAAATTACATGCACCCACCATCCAGCTTCAGCAATTACCAACTTATGGGTGATCTTGTTTATTGAAAGGAGGAATCTTAAGCATCTGTTCTAATGCCTTTTTAAAACCTTTTTATTTTGAAGTAACTTCACACTTAGGGAAAAGGGCAAGAACAGCTCAAAGAACTCTCTTTACCCAGATTCACCAATACATAACTTTTTTTGTCACATTTGCATGATCATTTACTCATTCTCTTTATCCTCACCCTGCCTCTGCTCTCCCCACCACAGTTTTTATTTCTGAACTATTTGAGGATAACAGGCTTCACCCTTTAATACTTCATTGTGTATTTCCCAAGAACAAAGACATTCCCTTACATAACTACAGTAGTTACCAAATTCAGGAAATTTAAATATTGATCAATACTTTTATCTGTAGCTTATATTCCATTTTTGTTAATTGTTCCAGAAATGTCATTTATAGCAAATTTCTTCCTGGTACAGGATTACACATCCCACTTAGGTATCCTGTCTAAGACCTTTGATTTTTTTTGTTTAGCATGGGAATTCTTTCAATGATTGCCTTTTGTCCAAATAATAAGCATCCTATTAAATTTGATCCCCATAAATTTACACACACACATCAACCCTGGTCATTTTTAGGACAATCTGAGTAAAAACTGCAAGCTCAGGAGTTGTCCAGTGTAACTAGTTCCAGGAGCTAAGTGACATGGGAAAGGTGTTTTGCATCTAATGGGTACGTAGAGGGGGAGTAGGGGAAGGTGCCAGGTGGGAAACCATAGGGGTGAAATGAAGTGAACACAGCAGACCCTTGTCCTTGACTCACTTCTGTTGGCAGAAAGGTAATGGGCACACCCTAAACAACAGAAAAACATTTTCAAGGCTGCAGGAGACAGGCTAGATTTGCGTTTGAAAAATGCAGTTCTTAGCAAGCGTGTAAACATCTTCTTGCTGTTTTCTGGGAAATTTACACACATCTCTAACTACAGTTTGACCCTTTTTCTAGGTGTGCTGGAAGAAGCGGAGTTTTACAACATTGCATCTCTTGTGCGACTGGTTAAGGAAAGGATACGGGACAATGAGAACAGAACCTCACAAGTAATGGGATTTGAACTCTTAAGGGGAAAATGTCTCAGGTGGCTGTCTTTGTCCATCTTTCTGGGTGTGATTTGGAAAGGATGGTGTGTGGCTTTTAGAGAGCCCTGCCTCTTCCTTCTAGCTGGAAGTCGGTGTGGAACACTGTCCATCTGCCTGGCAGATAGCACATACTCCACCAGACTTGTTCAGAATGAGGAAATAGAGAAGAAAAAATAAAACAGCCCTGTGTCCCTTTAGAAGAACAGGGAAGTCGTGGCAGTTCACCGTGTGGCAGTGGGGGAAGGGAGACGCAGCATTTTAGGTCCAAAACCTATTCTTCTGGACAGAGTATCCATCTCCCTCCCTGTAGAGATCAGACAAGGCTTTGCTTCCACCTTTTGGCGTCTCTTCATAAGGACCAGCCTTTAACGTGTGACCATGTCACATCCAGCTCCCAACAGGCACTTGAAACCAGTCTTATGGTGTAGACTTTAAAAGCTGCTTGTGAATCATGCTTTTGAGAAAATAATATTAGGCTTCTCTTTTTACTATGAAGTCTAGATTTTTATTTAACTCAGTAGGTATAGTAACAAAAGTGAAACACACAATTTGCCACCTAGTTTGAGAAGGGAAGACAAATAGGGAATACTTTGCTTATTTCACATCATCCGTCCTGCATCTTCCGTGGCCACAATAGTTT